TTCTCTGCTTTCAGTCAAGATCCGTTGGACATCAGCAATGATATCTCTCATTACACGGCCTCTTCTGAATTGATCCTGAACCCCTGGAAGTTCTCTTTCAATGTATGATTGTAGCCGTTTCTGTATTACTTTAACAAAAAGGTCTATATTATATACTACAAAAGGCAGTGTGTCCTTTTCTCTAACCTTTTCCTCCCCATTCTCAAGATTCATTTGTCAGTTTGTTGTCTCGTGGTGGCTTGCATTCTGATGTAAGCTATGCCACAGACATTTTAAATACCAACAGTCACACTACTGGTGGACAGGTTTCAGTGGAGCTACCAGACTAAGACAAACTAGGAAGGAAAGGCGGACCACTTCTGAATGGTTAGCCACTGAAAACCTTATGAAAATCAGGAGAACATTATCTGATACAGTACTATAAGATGTGGATGAAGTAAAGCTTTAGGAACTTCATATGTGATAATGCACAACTTAAAATTAGATGAAATAACTGCAAATAATCATTAATAACTGTGACATGGAATGTATGAACTATGTATTTGGGAAATTTTTGAAAAATGATATGGAACACATAAAGATTGATATCCTTAGCATTAGCGATCGGAAATGGATCATTTGACCATTTTGATTTGAACAATCAAATGATTTAGTATTCTGGGAATGACAAACTGAAGTATCACATCAAAATGAACATTTAAGATCTACCTTGTAGTACTGTAATAGGATAATACCCATATGCCTACAAGGAACACCAGTTAATACCACTATTCCTCACATTTACGCACCAATCACTAAAGTCAGTGATGATGAAAATGAAGAATCTACCAACTTCTTCAGTCTGAAATTGATTAAATATGCAATCAAGACACACTGATAATTACTGGTGATTAGAAAGTAAGTGTTGGAAACAAAGAAAAATGCTTGTAAGTTGGAAAATACAGCCTTGGTAACAAAAATTATGCAAGAGGCCGCATGGTAGAAATTTCCAAGACTAATAACCTATTTATTGAAAATATCTTTTTTTTTTTTTTTAACAACATAAAAGCCATCTATCTATATAGACCTAACCATATGAAATACAAAGGAATCAAACTGATTAAATTGACTATATTAGTGATAAGGGATGATGGAGAAATTCAATATCATCAGCCAAAACAAGGCCAGGGCTGACTATGGAACATAGCATCGATTCCTCAGATGCAAGTTCAGGCTGACGTTGAAGAAAACGATAATAGGCTCAAAATCACAAAAATATGCCATTGAGTATATTCTACTTGAATTTTTTTTTTAAGTTTTTATTGTGAGGTTTACATGGGCTAACATCAGTTTTACACTCATTATATTGTATTTCGCTTCATTGCAATGATTACAATCCCCTCCATGCATCATCAAATTACCCCAAAGGATACACCCCCCCAACCACCTCCCCAGGCTACTCCATCTGTCTACGTCATCATCTCTGTCTCCATGCCTGGCATCACTGCCTCTCTGGTTAGGGTCCCGTTCTCTGTTCTTCTCACTTGATGGTCCCAGGGACTCCCGGCTCCTGGGCTGCAAAATCAATCACTCTCCTCCTTTTGTCAAAAAACATCTACCTCTATATTTCCTAGCCTCACATTCAGTCCTAATGGCAATTATTCACTATTGTACCACAAGAGTCTTATCCCATTTCCTTTTACCAGTCTTGTCCCAACAGATTGGAAATCATTCAGTGGTGATTCTACCTGCTCCCGCCCCATCTGGAACTAGGCTCCCTCTTGAAAGCTTGTAAGCCAGTCACTTCTTGCCTTTATTGCTGTTGTTGTTGTTAAGTGCTCTCGAGTCAATTCTGACCCCCATTTTGGGTAGCCAATGTCTATGTTGCTCATCCTTGTCAACCCTGTGTACTGAGGGGGTGGGGGGTGATCCTCACTGTAAAGATTTGTTCCCTTTTTTGAACTACTATATCCATAAGTATAAGTAAAATTCATCAAATTGTGGCAGGTTACTCTTCCCCACCCCCCACCCCCCCATCCCGCTTCTTTCTTCTTCTAGTCGAGTTCTGATCATCCAGCTATCGAAGCCAGGTCAAGTGGGTACTATCTGCAAGTATGGCTGTTCTTGTGCATCTCCCCTCACTTCATATTAGATGGACGCTTCACTCTCTGCTCTAGTCCTCTGTGATCATGTCACTGCCTCTGGGTCCAGGAGTCCTTGGGTCTTTCCATAACTGACGGCCAT